CAGTGAGGCACTGCCGTCTTGTGGTCATTTTCAGAAGACAAGAAGAACGACACACAATACATTTGTTTTGTGTGTCACGGGTTGACGATTAAATTAATGATTACATCTTTCTAAATTCTAGTTAAATTATGGAGTTTTAAAAATGAACGAAAAAAAAACGGTTGTATACTCCAATCGAAAGGGGGCAGTGTAGAGTAGTTGCATCCGTTTGCAATACGTCATATCCGTGGTGCTCCATCGTGGGGAGTAGCGCGAAGCTAACGATAGTGTCGTATAGAAAAAAAGGTAAATACCAACTAATTTTCTGTTTTTTCTTTCAAGTAAGGCATGCGAGGCTTTTAGATAAACTCAAAAGTACTACACAGATGCAGCGTACAGCATTCATTTTAAGCTTGGAGTTCCACTTGACTCCTTAGCTTCCGTCGCTAAATTGTTCCATCTATTGACGTTGTATTTATTAATGTGTGTATTATTGCCCAGACCATGGCGGCGGACGATTATCCTCACGAGATAGACGATCAACTGAAAGGCTTTGAATCATCGGTGTTAACCGTCAAAAACATGTTGGACACGCTTATGTCGATGCCCAGAAATGAGTTGGAGCAAAAGGTAAGCCCAGTTTTGTTCATGGATTCTCATTAAAGTGAGATGCTTGTACCTTTCTACCCTTTGTACCCTTTCTACCATTAAAGTGAGGTAATGATTGTGTGAATTTAAAAAAATGTTGTTTTGTCTACAGCTGGATCCTCTGGACCAGGCCAAACTCGATCTAATGTCTGCGTACACACTCAATTCTTTATTCTGGAGTAAGTAAATACACATTTTTTCCTCCCCACTTTCATAGGCCCTTTTTTAATATATAAAAGCTGTTACAAATTCAACTTTGATTCATCATTTTGATAATATTTCCAACATCTTTTACAGTGTATTTGGTAACACAAGGCATCAACCCGAGAGAACATGGCATCAAACAAGAACTGGTACCTACATCTTTTTTCTTTTATTTTTACCAATATTGCTCCCTTTTATTCGCTGTCTTTTTCAGGGGTGGGTAAAAATGTCAATTCGTCATTACATCGTAGCACTTCCCCTCACAATCAATATTGATTCTTCAACTTCCTCCCACAATTCCATGTTGAATCAGCTAATCGATTGACCTCCTGGCCAGCGGGGGTTGTTCCACATGTGATTTGCCCAGCAACAACATGGCAACCGCAAGCTGTAGCATCCTGAAGAAAGCACCTAATGCTTTAAAATCTGACACTTAGGATCATTTACTATTTTACATTTTTAGTACAGGGCTGTGATCATGTTTTTCACGTTTGTACTCCAGACACACAAATACGTTTTCTTTGTGGATACTTTTTCGTCATTTTCATGTTTATATGACGGCATTCAATTTTCACCCTATCAAAATCACATTTTTATTTTTTTTAACTTCACATGTGGTCTTGATTCTCATCTCAATGAAATCTACCGTGCCAATCCCTTGTGTCTTTGTGTACCCGTCAGGAGCGAATAAGGACACACATGAGCAGAGTGAAAGCCATCGCGGACAAGAAGAAGGCGGCTCGTCTGGATAAGGGCGCTGCTGAACGATTCATGAGGAACGCCCTCTTTGATCCAGAGGACAAGGCGTCCAAGAAAAAAGCGGTGGCTAACAAAACGCCCAACGTGAAGCCAGCGAAGCGGCCAAAGAAAAGCTGAGGAGGATGTTTTTGAATGCCTCGAGCGGAACTCATCCAGAACTGTAGCAAAACATATTTCTAAAATGGCCTCCGTCAGTATGTTTGTGTTCATGATGTTTGAGGAAATGATTATGTATTTAGATGTATGCGTTTCGTAAGACTTGTTTAGTAAAATGAAAATGTCTTTCAGGGCGTTAGAATTTTTTTTTTAATACACAAGTTTGATGCAAAACGTTCTGAAAGTGATTCTATGAATCCAGTTGGATTTTTTTTTTCCTGTTAAATCCTGTGTGTTGCTTCAAGGGTTGGCACTTGAATTAAACACTTTGATGTTATGATGTTGTTTCTGTATTTATTTCATTTTTTTAAAAAATGAAAGTTTAATCATGTTGTAGAATTTTACCCCTAATATTCAGAGGCATAAATCAGCTTTGAGTATGATGTAGAGTTCTACACCATTGATGAATTATCGAAAAATCTGAGGTGAGAGAAAAATAGTAATGTTTATCAATTAGATTTGAGATTAAGTATCAAGTATACATTTCTGTCAAACTATGGTTAAAGAGGCAACCAAAATAGAAACTCGGTACAATGCAAACATAATAAAAGTGAATAATCAAAACCAAGCATGAATATTTTTTCTAACAGTTTTTGATGGAGCTTTTGGTGTTTTTTTTTTTGTTTTGTTTTTTGTTTTTTTTTTGTGACTGTTGTTTGTAAATCAGGCAGAACACTGCTCCCTGAAAATGGTGCTCATGGTAACAATTAGGAGGTGCCCTGGAGGGGCGTCAAAAACTTGTGATTAGAAAATAGCCAAATACAGTGTGGCCATAATGAGACTTCCTTTAATAATAACCTCTGTCACTTTTAATAAAGACACATGCACGTTGTTTCCTTTGTGTATTTCGCTTTTGCAGCGCTCAGATCTTTATCTTAATGCGCCTGCCACTCTTGTGGGTCCCTCTAATCAAGGCCGGGAAACAACGTGGCGGTGGTGGGTTTTCAGTCTGGGGAATTTATCTTTTCATTCTTTTCATCATTCCATAATGTCCCTGCGGCAACTGCATCCAGAGATGACGTTAGCATAGTCCTCCTTCCTTGTGACTTTGTTTTTTTTTTCTCCCCCCACTCTTGTTGTTCCGCACGCCGCTCAAAGAAGTGTCAGAATTTGGCTTGTGGCCTTGGTGGAAAATAACTTCTACGTTCATTTTCCGTGTTGAATGATCGGCCTCCGTTTCCATTCAAGGAGGTAAATTTTAAAGAGCAGATGGTAATATTTATAGCATGTGGGAGGGACAGCATTAGTGGTTAGCACATCTGCCTCACAGGTCACAAAATCTGGATGTGAATCTCAGCTTCGGCCTTGCTGTGTGGAGTTTTCACATTCCAAAAACACATGCATGTGGTGGTCATTGAAGACTCTTCATTGCTCATAGGTGTGTGATTGTTAACTTCCACCAACGTCAAAACCAATTTTGATGTTTCTCTGTATCATCTTGAGATGTTACCACCTTCCTTCTCTAGTATCACGTCAGCTGACTCTTGGTACTGGAATCTTTTATCAAGCTGCTGTTTGATAACTATTAGCTGGTGGCTAACGCTAGCTACTTGGGCGTTTGGGCATAATTTTAGGGCGCAAGTGAGTGTGTGTGAATGTGAGTAGTATGTGTGAGGGAGCCAGGTGTGTGTGTGTGAATGAATGAATGTATATGTGTGTATGAGTGTGTATAATGTGTGAGAGTGAAAGAAGGAAAGAGCGTGGGCAAGTGTGAGTTGTGTGTGCCAGTGACAGTGAATGTGTGTGTCTGTGTACACTACAAAAGTGAGGAAGCGTGTGCTTGACTGCATGAATAAGTGAGTTTGCAAATCGGCAGTGTGTTGACTCAACTGCGGTGGTCCGTGCGGGCAAGCAAAATGAGGAAAACTAAAGCGTCTCCTTTTTGAAATTGTGACCTTCCGAGGCGTGAAACTACCGGACGAGGCGTCAAAGCAGGCAACACAAAGCACATGTGTACGAGCCGAGCAGCTGCCCGCCATGCGCGGAAGACGCCGAGCGGAGGTGTGGAATGGATTCGATGCGCCCCGGTCGTCCTTAGGACAGCGTTGTCTTCGAGGTCCACGCATGAACCGGGGCGGATGAGAGCACAGCTGTTGTGACATAAATTTCTCCAAGGAATGCCTGAGTTGGAGTCTAAAAGAGCATGACCACAGATGACAAATGGGTGGTCGGGAGGACTGTTTGTGGTCGTGTGAAAAGACACGTTGAAGTGAGAAGAAGAGCGTTGCAGGTACAGGTGTGATTTTTTTTCTCCCCTCTTATTTCTGTTCTTAAACTGGAATTTAGTGACCTCACAGTGCCTTCTCTGAACCTAAAAAGACGAAACGAAAAGCACAACACTTTTATTAGAAGCTAAACAATATCTCACCAAGAAAGGACATGAACTAGGAACCACACTGTTTGCGAAACAAACCAAGGCAAAGAAATATAGTCAGAAACGTAAAGTAAAGTAACAAAATATTTTTACATTTCCTTGGCCAAATACTGTCGTGTGATATCGTCGCTTTATTTGATAGAACACATGGTCTTCGTCAGCTGTAATCGCCCCTAAAAAAATATTTAATCTTGTCTTCTCAACCAAACTTCCACGACTGATGGCACAAGGTTGTTGTGTATGTAGGCGCCACAAGATGGTGGCAAAGCACTTAAAAAGAGTTTCAAAAGGCATCAATGCTATGCTTGATGCATATACACAATCATGAACCTGTCTGTCACATAAACTGTATTTAGTACTTGAATACAAACCACCTTCGTCCGTACTGTAGTATTAGCTCACATACTAGCATAAATAACTCACCAGCACGTCATACCGGGCTCACAAATATTCAGATTTTTACTGACACAAACGATATTGTCATTGAACTCCTCTATTTTTTTAAATAAATGTTGGGAACAAAGGGTAAATTGGGGGAAAGAAGGCAGAATTCTGTTGTTTTGTGTTTGGGTCGAATGCCACAAGATGGCAGAAAAGCACTTAAAACTGACATGATCAGAAAGCATCAACACTATGCTTCTAGCATGTACACAATCATGAACCCATGTTACATAAATTACTGTATTGAGGAGTTTCAGTACTTAATCAACACAAAAAATCACTTTCACATGAGGTTAATCAGTATTAGCCTAAATAACACGCCACTAACTAACAATAATATCTAACATGCTGTATGTGGAAAACAAGCAAATTGGAAGGGCAAAGTACACTCCACGAGCTATTACTTTCCGCATCAGAAAGAGAGTAGAAACATACTTTGAGTTTCACCTTTTGATCGGGCACGAGGTGCAGTCAAGGACGGCTAACACAACAGGACACCGCAAACCCGGTTGAAGAAACACTATTCATGAATTGAAACTGACAAAAATGCCAAGACTGCATTGGATGGTGTCAAAGTAATAATTTTATTGCTTTGGCATTTTTAACCATTCTGCATGTGTGCTGCCGGTTGCATTTTAAGTCCCTTTTGAGTAAAGCCAACAAGCAAACACACGCTTTCCTAAAATAAAATAAAACAAAATAAAGGGTTTATTGCGCATCAATAAACCCTCTCATCCCCGGTTCGCCTTCCTCTTTCCGGGCAGCTCGTAGGCCTCGATGATGCGGGAGGCAGCTAACGGCAGTGCTGGGTACCGTAAAGCCGCGGTGGGCCTCGGCTTTTACGAGCGTGCCGTGAATGATGGCGCCTGAGAGAGTAAAAAAGACCATTCTTATCCTCCACAATATACAGTATGGAGGAACATCCCCGTATTATTTATGATTTACTGCCAGCGCGGTGGTTTTTACATTAGCGGCGTATTGACAACACATTTCAGTGGTATACAAGCCACATTTCCAGTGTCTCTGTTGGTGCCTCCTTGCAAGGAAATGAACTCGCTTCGCTTCAAAAACAATCACTTGCTGGCAAGCAAAGGGAAGAAACGTGCAGGAATTTGGCAAGGCTTTCCAAGGAGCGTTGGAAGATATCTGCCAGGAAAGCACATCAGTTCAGTGGATCAGAACCTGATGTTAAAATCATCCGATTTTCCCCCACTAAACAACTGATTGAACTGAAGTGATCGTATTTCTATATTTAAAAAAACAACAACGAATAAACAAACAAACTATAAAACCAAGATTAGGAAAAAAAATAGAACTGAAAATTATGAATTTATGAGTTTCAATCAATTAAGTGTAATTATATAAAAAATAAGTGTAAAAATAAATGCAATTTAAAAATAAGATAAACCAGTATGGAACATAAAATAACCGTTGAAATACTAAATAGAGTAACTGATAAAACGAAATAAATATAGTAAATTGACCACTCAATTACCAAGAGTGATAGATTACCATATGCATCTAAAATAAATATGTAAACACATTTATTCATCACATATTATTTTATTAGTATTCATTCTCGTCAGTAGTTAGTATTTGAGAATAAAACCAATGTGTTTTACAGTCAAGCAACTTTTTAGTGTGCGAAAGAAAGCTATTTTTTTAGAGTGAAAGAAAACAAGAAAAAAACCACAACAAACAGTGTGTGACGTCTATGAATTCCTTCCAGCAAATATTTTCAGTTTATTTTCCAAATATATACCATATTTTGTGTTAAACACCACAAAATAATTCACTGTAAATTACAATTTGTCCTTCAAAACGGCTAAAAATCACTCCAGTGTTCATCTAGGACAGTGGGCCTGCAGTTGTCTCAAACAGCCTTTGGGGGGCAGTCTAACACAGCTGACCACTTGCTACTGCCTTTTGATTGACACACTTGAGGTCTGCAGTTGGGAGTTGGACCACGTTCCCTTTTCTGACAGCGGAGAAGAACAACACTTTCCACGACGTGCGTGTTGTGTCATGTTTGCGGACGCTTCCTGTCGCACTGCAGCGGCGCGTCGGATGATGGATGACGGCTATTTTTTTTCCCCCTGCATGGAGTGACGAAGAAGAAGCAAAAACACTCTGACTCTTATGTCAGAGGACCGCTCCGTCCGGTGAAGTCACTTTTTTAGCAGAAGGCGACTCTTCAAAGGCGGCCATTGTGGACTTCGATGGCGGGTAAACAGCAACTACCACAAAAAGACGACAACCTCCAGAGATTAAAGCAACATCATTCATCACCCTGCCTGCCATTGCAGGTGTGACCCAGTTCCCACAGCCTGGTCCATGCAACCGCATTTTGGAAGGGCCCAGGTCAGCCTAAGTATCTGATCTGAGGCCACTCTCAGGCGGGCAACAATCCAAGCAGGCATGGGCACTTTGAGCTGGAGCTCTCCAAAAAGACTAAAAATGGACCAGACGTGTGGGGTCTGGATCAGTCAATGCATCCCAGCTATGGCCCCTCTCGGGGCAGGCAGGAATCCAAGTATGTCTGGGCACTTTGCTCTGGAGGTGCGTCCAAAGTTTAATCATGAAATGCACCATAGTTTGGAAGCACCAAGGTCAGTCTAAGTGTCCGAATTGAGGCCACTCACAGGATGGCAACAATCCAAGCAGGCCTGGGCAGTTCGCTCTGGTTCTGTCAGAAAAAAACAAAAACAAAAAAAAACAAGAAAAAGAAGATACAGTGGTACGTCTCCTTACGAACGTCTCTTCATACGAAATTTTCAAGTTACGAAACGTCTCAACAGGAAAATATTGCCTTTTGTTACGAAAGAAATTTCAAGATATGAAAGGTAAAAATACAGTATGGGCTGCTAGTAGCAGCTCCGAGTTTCCTGAACGCAACATACTTATAGCTGCTCTGCCATTGGCTACTACCGAGCATCTTACTGGCATCCCATTGGCTAAGAGGGACTTCTACCGAATGTGTCGATGTGTGTAGATAGATAGATAGATAGATTGTTAAAAGCCAACAAAAGCCAACGTCTTTGGATCAGTTCTTTACAAAACGCCAGGCAAAAACCACTTCTGAGAGAGAACATGGACTGAAGAGGGGAAAAAATAATGAGGATGCACTTAAAAGTTAAATGATCATCATTTTTATTCTTTATTTTTTGTTTTTTACATTATGCACAGCCCTGATTTAATGTGCAATAATCTAATTGTAACATGTATTTGTTACATATTTGGATGCATTTTTATGCTTTCGGGAACATTTATGAGATATAGAACCAGATTTTGGTAAAGTCAGGATCTCCAAACGTATCTGACTCGAGGCCCTTCACAGGCATTCTGAGTCAGCCTGCCTCAGCAGATGTGTCTGATCTGAAGACTATCACAGGTAATATTTCAGTTCGGGCTGGGCACTTTGCGCTTGACCTTTTTCCGGAAGAGAACATTTCGGAGATCAGTTTACTATGAATATGTTTATGATTAAAAGAGGCTTTTTACATCTGTCTGACATCCACATAAGTTGTGTGAGGTCAGTGACAGCGTCAATGTGAGTGTGAATGATCGATTAAGTCAATACTTGCGTTGCGATGACGGGTGACCAATGCGGGGTCTGGCCTTTCGACCGATGTTTTCCGAGGTCGGCTCCAGCTCCCTGCGACAATCAGGAATGCCACTTTTTTTTTTTTTTTTACATTGGCTGGATAGTTACTCAAACTTTTTCGATTGCCGCAGTTTATCTCCGGAACCAATGATCTCTTGTCCTGTTATTTCTTATGGGAACATTTTTTTCCAAATGTGTGTTTTACTCAAGGACCCTTTGTCAGTGATGGTTAATGATGAATGAATGACTAATAAAGTCGTAATCCACAGTCAGTGTATTTCTCCAACTGAAATGTGTGTACATAATAGCGGCTTTATCTGCCAATGGGCCTGTTATCTTCTGTTTGGTTTAATTAACATGCACCTTGGCTCGGAGCCCCTCTGGGTCAAGGTGAACGAGGCGCAGGTGACAGATCGATGGGGTAGACTCCCAGCGCTGCCCATCGAACCGGCGCTCAAACACGATTGACTAAAATGTTGACAGTCAATGTGGTCAACGATTCACATGAGGAAAGCAGGATATGCCGTCGCTTCCGGTGTTTTCATGGGAATCGTCTGCACCGAGGGAGTTACCGTATTTTTGCCTTGGATGTGGGGGTGCAACCGTATTTTTCGTGTGCATTTGGATCGAGGTGGTCAAATTTGTCCAAAAAAGTTTGGATTCTCATAAAAAGTCCCCACAAAGGAGAAAAAAGGCCCTCAACAACAATATAAAAATGTAAAAAGAGTAGGTCATAAATGATGTGAAATAGAACACATTTGATTAAATTATCCAAACCCAGGAAATTATTAACACATAAGGTAACGTTCAA